TATTGCTTGTTCACAGTCATAGTAAAACCACTTGGGTGGTCTACTGTCATCTGTTATGAATGTAGATTTGATAGGTTCGCGAGCCGAACGCGCATTCCTTGCTGTGTTGCGTAAGCTTCTACTGCAAATTGTGAAGTTGGTCTCACGTGCTGCTCAACTCAGTGCATTGTCGACAAAAAGTGAAAGACCGCTAGATGAAACCCGTCTCGGCTTACAGTTCGAGATTTGTTGTTTCCGTTCTCGCCGCCTCAATGACTACCATTTTATGTCGATTCGGAGATAGTGTTTCACGCGCTTGCTACCGACACCACTTTTTGTGACACTCCTTTCTGCTCACAACTAGTTTATTATCGTCGATCAGTTTTTGTTATTTATTTTTTTTTATATTTCAGGGTTTCGATGATCTGTTACATTTCAAATCTCTTTATATTTAAGCATTCCGTTATTGGATTCTTATGTAGCGTTCCCCTCTAGTTAAAATGAATAACAACAGGAAACCACAGCAGAATTGTATAATAAGAGCCATTACGTCGACCAACCACAAGCAATTTCACTTGGTAAACAAGAGCATACACCTTTACAAAAATGTCCATCCATTCATCTTTCTCGAACAGAACATTAAAGAATGTCTCCGTTAAAGTGGGGAAGGGGAGAATCGCGTAAGATTCAAAATCGAGTGCGACGGTTCACGTTCAATACCATCTACTTTCTTTAGCTACTGATAATAATGGCCGCAGAATTTTGAACCCTATGATTGGGTATCTAACTTTTTTATTTCTTTTTATTCTAAATATTTATTATTGCTGACAATGTCTTTGCAGAGGGGAGAGATATAAGGTAACCCTCTTTAGTAGGGACTCTATATTGAGGGACGGGATGTATGTCGGTTGCTATTTGTAAAATACCAAACAAGAAAATATTGGTGGTTTTACTTTTGTGGTACAGTAAATTGTTATTTATTTTTTCGTTTATATAATACAAGCTTTCCGCCTACGGCTTCGCTTGCATTTTCGCTAGGGAGCTATTTAGTGAGATAAAAAGTAACCTATATTAACTCAGGCTTAGACTTATCTGTATTCCAAATTTCATCAAAATCTATTCAGCGGTTTTTGCGTGAAAGAGTCACAAATCATGCATCCTCACAAACTTTTGCATTTATTATATTAAGTAGAATTTTATCAGTAGCTAGGCAACCATTCTCTTATATCGATATCTTTTAAATATTTTATAGGGATATCACAATCAGTTTACTGGTAGATAATACTTATAGTACCTTTGGTCATATTTTTTTTTTCTTAACCTAAAAAGCCGTAAAGCTTTTTGAGTACATATATAAAGACAAATTAAATATTATTTATTATTTTAATAACATTTACAAGTTCTTTCTTAAAATATATGTGCCTATACAATCTAAAGAATGATCTTAAAGAAGAAAAATCAGAAAAAAATGATTTGGTTAATTGCCAATGAAAAGATAATTTATTGTAGTTATATTAAAAAAATATTTGTTATAGAAAAACCATATGATAACTAAACTTCACGCTGTTGTCATAAAACTATACTAAATAAATTATACAATGCAAAATATTAGTTACTTGAGATAACATGCAATAAACCCGAACTCTTAATGAGCAGAAGACGATTTGTGCCGGTCTCAGGGAACAATAATATTGTAACCCAACCAACTAATCGATGAATAATTGCGCTAATGTGAAAATTTACGCTTTGACATTTCAATGGAACGAGGAAGTCGATAATATAATAATAGTTATGAACACTGAAAACACTTTCTTCGTGTTTTTTCACTTTAAAAATAACTTAAAACATATACTCTTATGGAAAATAAAGACATGTATCAAAGCATAATTACAAAAAAAAAATAATGAAATACCACTGTTACTATATCACAAAATTTAAAATTGAAAAGAAGGAGGTTATATTTTCGACGGCCATGTATTTTTTTTTTGTATATTCACCGATTTTTTCGTCAATTGTTGTCCGATTTTCAAAATTCTTTTTTTATTCGACAGCTTGATTTACCGAGATAGTCCCATTTAAATTTTATCGAAATAGAGTAAGTAGTTTTCCTTTTATAATAAAACAAAATACGCTTTTCATCGGATATCACCTTAATATTAAGATGATAAGTTATGGTATGGCCCGTTGCAGCTAAAAAAAAACAAAAGATTACGTATTTAGAATTCCTTCAAAATTTGAAAGGAGGATTTACTATGTTCAACGAGTATGTATTCTTTATTCCTTGGAGTTTATTTTTTTATGAAAGTCATAAATAGTAGGGGAGACCTAGGTGAGTTGTGACAGAGGTGAGTTGTGACAAGGAGGATTTCTCTCTACCTATTATAGTAAGCGAGATGGCATTAACGCTTGTTTGTCGTTCTCGACACGCGCTACACGACTCAGTACCTGTCGACGGTGCATATGGCACAGTTGCGTAAATATATCGTCAGTGTACAAAAAATTGCGAAAAGTAAGTTTTTCTTCAAAATATTATTTGAATATATATCATATCTTAGTATATGTGCATTGATGTGTTATTTTTTCTTAAGTTATGTAGTTATTTAAGTCTCAATACGTGGCACTGATTTTTTGAATGCGCATCGTATTTAGAAAATATGAATTGTTATTCGGACCAAGACGTCATTTTGAACACCTAGGTGAGTTGTGACAGCCTGTCACAACTCTCCTATCTTACTCCATATTTCTGCTGGGCTATTTTTACAATTTTTTTTATTAACTTTAGATTTTTGTTGGAGTGTTAGTAGCTACTTAAGGTATACCGCATACTTATTTTTTTTTGTGAATGCCAAATAACTATACAGAGACTGAAAATCTAAGAATGTTAAGAAGCGTGTCTTAAGCGAAGAAAAAAAAAGAAACCTAAAAAACCAAAGAAGACTAATAAGAAGAATAGAACAAGTGATGAAGAAGATGCAGAAAATAATTGCTTTTATTTGGTTTGCCTTAAAGCCTATGCAGACAGCAGATCGAATGATCAGTGGGTCCAAAGCCTTGAATGCAAAGGCTAGGCACACGTAGATTGTACTGGGGACGAGCTGCATTACGTTTGGCATAATTGTGAATCTGATTAGATTAAGATTTTATACTAATTATAACAATAATATGATTGATCTCAAAGCGATACCATATTTGGTTAATGAAAATATTTTAATTACTTGTTATGAGAATATTAATACTATGTTGTTTTAGTTGGTAGGTATTGAAAGATGATTAATCAAGTCAAATCAAATCAATCTTTATTGTTGATCGCAGGTTATATAAAGATATTGGTTGCAAGGACTGAATAGTTACACCGTGATCTGCTTAAAAGGCATACAATATTAGTAGGTTAGTAATTGTCAACTAATCTAATCAATAACGTGTTATGTCAAAAATTCAATTAATTCATTAAGTATTTATACATTTACAAAGTACTGTCAGCTAGATAGTCGTTTACACTATAATATGCTTTAGCTACTAATAATTTACAAAGTTTTTCTTTTAAAAACATTATAATTATCCAGATTACGTATTGTTTTTGGAATATTATCAAAAATTTTTGGAGCCATACAAAAGATACTTTTGTTCAACAGAGCTGTCTTAGAGGGTATCGTACACAATTTGTCTCGATGACGCAATCTCGTCTTATTTTCAAATAGTTGTTGATTCTGTTTGACAAAAATACCAACTTCGAATATATAGATTGATGGCAGGGTCATAATATTTAGTTTAATAAAATATGGCCTACAGGTATCCGTACTCTATAAATAACATATGCTCCTAACACATATTTTCTGGGCTCTAAAGGCAGATACAGAATCAGTCGAATATCCCCAAAATATAATGCCGTATCGAACAGTTGAAACTACGTACGCATGATAAGCTGTAAGGACCATGCACTGATTCGCGATCCTACTAAGTTTGCACAGTGCACAAGAATACTGGGACAAATTTTTGCAAACATGTTCAGTGTGTGTTTTCCAAGTCAAATTTATTATTATAGTACTGATTAAAGTAATGATTTGATAAAAAAACGTGCTTGATTTATTTATGTCGTATGTAATGGTATTTTTATATCTTATAGCTTAAATACAATGATGTCACAATTTACCTCGGTACCTGTCACAACTTACCTCGGTGGTAGGAGAGTTGTGACAAGGGGAGTGGACTTGAATTTTGTTATTTTTTTCAGAAACTATTATACTTTAATTAATTTTAGTGATGGTTTTGAAAACAGAGGGAATGGCGCTAAACTAATTCACATGAGTCATAACTGTGGAATGTTTCTTAAGCGAGATAGAGCCCCTTATGTAAAAATTGTCACAACATTGTCACCTAGGTATCAAACAGTAAAGTATATAGGGGTAAATATATTCATCGATTTCTTCTTGAATTGTGAACCAATTTCTATCAAACTAGCTGTTTCCGCGCGGCTTTGCCTGCGTAAATTATAGCCTATATCTGCCGCGTATTATGTAGTTTCCGTAGATGAAAGACTTTTCAAGCGGTAATCTAATGCAAACTTACAAGCAATCCAATTTTTCCTCTTTAAAATATGAATATAGCTTATTGGAAAAAATATATCGAGCATATAAACAAAATCTCCTTTTCTAAGACTTTCACAATTTTAAATATTTTTATTTAGATAGAAATTTTGTATTTTATATAAAAATATCAATATAATTGAAAAGCATGAAACAAAAACTTAAAAAAAGTGATAAATGATATTTATCTTAAGAGCGACTCATTCAAGAAAATACTATAAAAGTCGGGCACCTATCATTTGATTAATAACACACAGAAAAACCTTCGTCCGACTTCAATAGCATTTCCTTGAATAAATTGCTTTAGAGATAAGTATTGTTTATCACTTATTTAAATTTTGAAATCGGTTCTATTTTTTTAAAGTTATTATAATATATATACTAATGTAGCAGATTCTTGTGGGTTTGTAAATACCTAAATGTTTTGTTTGGTTGCAGACGTATGTTTCCGACGGTGCGGGTATCGTTTGCCGGTTGTCGTACGGATGCGCGATATGCCGTCCTGCTGGACGTTGTGCCGGTGGACGGCAAGCGGTACCGGTACGCGTATCACCGCTCCTCATGGCTGGTGGCCGGCAAAGCAGACCCCCCTGCACCTGCGCGTCTCTATCCACACCCTGACTCACCATTCAGCGGGGATCAGTTACGCAAACAAGTCGTCTCCTTCGAGAAGGTCAAGCTAACTAACAATGAGATGGACAAAAATGGCCAGGTAAACACACAAACTACGCTCACTGCTATAAGAACCTACGAACTAGAGCAATGTCGGTTTTCATAATATGTTGTTACCTTTGAAAATTATCCCAGAAGTTCATTCTTATTAAATTTTCAGCTGGTCCTCAATTCGATGCACAAATATCAGCCACGTATCCATCTGGTCCTAAGAAGAGAAGGTGCTATCAATGCACCAATAACTGATCTCGAGCAAGAAGAATTCAAGACATTCATTTTCCCAGAGTGCGTGTTTACAGCAGTGACGGCATACCAGAATCAACTCGTAAGTACTTACTCACGTTAGACCTATTGATCCCAACACAAATAAGATAGTTCATTTAGTGACATAGCTCTTTTGTTCTATCATTTGATATCTAAAATAGATCAGAGGACAGAACGCTTGAAATCGCACAGTGCTGTCGAGTGGCTATCGACGGATTCTATTTCGGTCTACTAATTGCATCTCGTTGAAAGGTATGTCCACTCTGAACAAAGGGAGGTGGCACATAATTTTTTGTCTATCAGGCGGCCACACGCGGGTGTCGGCGACGACGGATGGACAGAGCACTTGACGCGTGCACGACGGTGACGAATAAAGTTTTCACCCGAGCTAAATATAAGTCAGACTCAGTGGACGCGATCATGACCAGCTATGCGTTCGTCTCTATTGTTCTCAATGCTTTCCTTGTTCCGCTAATTGGTTAAGCGATGATTTTCTTCGAACTGACATTCATTGAACGTTCCTCGAAAAGCACGTGCAAATTTCGATTCTTGTCATCAAAACTTCTGTCAGTTGCTAAAATAATGCTCGGCGAGGCATCACGTGTCGCGGTCGACTGTATTTCTTTCCCACTGTATTCATAGCTGACAGCTAATGGTGCGAGCCATGATTAGCGTCTGCTTTTGTATTTCTTGTGACTTACTACCTCTGAGTCTGTGATGTACGATCGAAGGCTACCGTAATGGTGTTCGATTTATGATAGATGCATAAAGAGACAGGAATATCTTGCCATAAAACATTCCAACTTGAGAGGTGTAAAATTTAAACTCAAAAATAATAAGCGGTGTTAAAGTGTCGTTGAGTTCCAATCATTTATTGCATACTTGAAAATAATTTGATGTTATGAAAAACACTGAAAATATATTTTCATATTAATGCCCGCAAAATTCAAAAACTAGGCGATGTGAATAACCTTAACTTTTTTTTAATTTAAACTTAACTATTTTAGTTAGATATAGTTTATTTTTTTTTATTTAAAATTGACATACTAAATCTCCTTTAACTTTTTTGAAGTTTATTAGGTATAACTATTTTTTCGTCAAAATGAGGCAACCGAAAACAGCCATACAAAATATAAGTTTCAGTAGCAGCAACATCTGCCAAACATCTACGCAAAAAGTAAATGTATCGATTGCCGATACTTGATTTTGGAAGGCTTTATATTTATTTTACGAAAAAGCGATAGATCACTCACTCATCCCGAAATCGCAGAAACTTCAATTACTACGAGTTTCAAATTTGAAAGGGGGCTTTTTTTAGTACGTAGATACCCACTAAGGCGGGATTTTGCGAAATTTCACCCCTAAGGAGTTGTTTTTGGGGTTGATAGTTTCTATGAAACTTTGTAACTACTAATACTTCGTTGCCAGTAGTCTCAAACGTTCTTCTTTTTCTTCTAAAAGGTTGTTTTTAGGTCGTAGGTTAATAGTAATACCTTTAAAACTACGTGGACGAAGCGGGCAAGAACTAGTAATCATTATATTCAATGAAATATATTAACAATATCATTCTTATTATTTATAGATATTTATTTTCAGTTGTCGGTAAATCTTACCGGCTATCCGCTCAGCTGATGGCACGGGCGCATCACTAGTGCATGTGTCGCCACGCGCAATTAATTCACTGTCACACGAGCGTTAGGGCGTCGCCGCGACAGTTTTTCTCGTTTTGTTTCTTAGTGTGTAGTAAAATAATTAGGACATTTTGAGGTTCATAAAGGAAACGTTACTTTATATCGACATCACGGCATATAAATCTTCATTTGCCTCCTAATTAGTTATTTTCGGCAATGTGATATTCACCATTATGTTTTATTTAGAAATAATTTTATTAAGAATCTAGATGTGGAAGGAATGGTTTGGTGTGATGATATGTTATGAAGTTCTCTAAAAACAAAAAAAATTTGTATTCTACAAAATGAACAGCAATTTCCAAATGACTGAAAAAAAAGTAACAGATATTAGCATATTAAAAAAACTGAATCAATAATCAGGTGTAAGTGATATTGAAATAATAGTTAGCTTTTGCTTTGTTCCTTTACTTAATTTATATGATTATTAATAGGTACCCAACGACAATTATTTACATTTACATGTACCTAATCTCTAATGACATCGCATACCTTTCGATATTTTTCATTCCCATTTGGCGAACCACCAAAAGTGCCACTGTCAAATTACAGAGATATCTGCTATTCAATATACTGGATGTTATATCACATCGATCGTAAATAATTATAGTAAGTACGTAGGTAATAAACATCAACTATCAATGCCCGGATGCCCACCTCCACCGGCAGGTTCGAACGACTCCCCTGGGGCATAGATTATTGATTTCCATTGATTCTAATGTGATTCTAGATTTACTGCGAACACTTCGTGGTTCGTGTCGTCCTTTAGTTGCTATTACTCCCACCCGTTTACTCCGAAACACGTGTATGATCGAAACAATTTTTTTGCTTAGTTTTAAATCAATATTTTATCTTCAGAACACCTACATAGAATCCAAGAGTATCTACAGTGAGTAGTGTAAAGTAAGCGTGATATCTGCCGTTCGATCGCAATGTCCGTGAGGCGTCGGCGCGGGCGCAGCGCTTTGTCCCGATTTGGTTGACGTCACACCTCTGACAGCTAAAACATTTGTCGAACGCCGTAGATAGTGTCACTGATAACTCAATCCTTTACAATAATAAGACACACTTAGCATGTTTGCACCTGCAGCCCGCTAGAGATTGATACCACACCCGCATAACTTTAAGCCAACAAAAAACCATTTCGAAATAGGTATCTGTATTAAAAAAAAACTAGCCTGCCATATTACAGTCCAACTAGCGTTGGAGTTTGGTACGGGAAAAATGTCACCAAATACGAATTTTACGTGCACCCGACATTTGTTAAATTGATTCAAAATGAAACATCATTATTGGTGCTTTATCATTCCAATATGTTGATATAACATAGATAAAAGTATGGACAAAAAAGTTTGATACTTTTTGTGGGTCGTGGTGTGAGACGCAACGTCGCCGCGCGCGCCGCGGGGTAGTTCCCAAGAAAGCGCCGTGGGTCGCGCGACCTGTTATAATATTTAAACATTTTACAGCATTTAGGGTTGCCAGCAAACAATTTTCAAATGGCTTTTAGAACAATATCATATGTTCATTACTTTTTATTTGTTTTTTCCTTTAAATTTATACTATTATTACAGGCTTAACCTAATTCTAGAGAGCATGTAAATTCCTATAACTTACACCGTTATTTCCTCATCATGTAACATATAAGAAAGATATTATGCCACCCTTGTGAATACACTCCACGAACATATAAAAAAAATTAATTTAGAAACTAATAATATTCAAAGTTTTTATAAATATTCTTGTAGCGCATGTGAGCGGCGCCCTTGCCATTTTTTGATTTTTGATGATACTAGTATTTAATTTTAATTTTTGTTTCCTTTTCATTATTGAATCGCTATCTGTTTGTCTGAAGTGAGAGTGATACTAAAATATGTTTAGCGATCTTTGTAATAAAATAAAAAAAGTAATACAAGACAGCCCTGAGTCTTTGTACGTTTTCTGTAAAATTCATTGTTGAGGATTGGATCCTTTTAGAGGTGACAATGTTTGTTAGAGTATACTCATCCTCAATATACACAATGTATTTTTTTAATGGCCGATGACTTGTGAATTTGTTGTGATTGATCGTCCCGTTGAGGTTTTCATAGTAAGCAAAAACTCGCGTATAGCAGTCAACCTGTCGTAATGTGAATACCGTCTTTATTTTACTTGTTTTTACTATAACTATGGCTTTAGGTGTAATACTACAACAATATAATACAGTAAAGGTAATGTTTTATTTAAACGAAACTAATAATTTAATTAAACAGGATGGAACAGATTTTGGACTCGTTTAATTTCGGCATTCAGATTTTTATTTGATTATTTGCAGAGTTTGGTATCAGTACACCTTTTTATAGATTTATTATAATTTTAGACAGTACATAACACTATTTTCGTCCGTAATTTCATGTAGAAACAACGCAATATAAGAAGATAATCTCGTAAATAACTGCACTTTAATACAAGTACCTCAATAGGAGCTTAATTGAAATTTATTTGTCGTTTCTCAGGTTCAACAATCAATATTCTAAAATCTCTAAAGCTATTCTCACATTGAGCATCTACAAACGAGTTTTACAAGAGTATAATCGAACAATATAGTGAAGCAGTGAAGGCAAACACAATTTCAATAACAAAGGACAACCATGACAAATAAACATATTTCACGGGCCAAAATGGCTGCGGTCAGGTGTCGCACCCCTCTCCCCCCTACCCCCCCTCAAGTGAGCTCTTCTTTTTCTTTCCTCAATAATCGATTCATTCTTTTCAATATCTTTTATCTTTGTTAACTTTTGACTCGTGATTCATGTCACAATTGATTTTTTAATTTGGACGGATTTTAGTGCTATTGAAATAATAGAAGTTTGTTTGCATTATCTTTTAATATCGGTAGTTAAAATGTAATTTGATATCGAATGATTAATGATAAAACAATCCGAATATGAACACATTATATTGGTTTATATTTTATTACATGATAGGTAGTAGTAGCCGAAATGAGTCTTAAATTCGTAAAGTCAACGTACTTACTAAGAGTAGATTTAAAATAATTTAAAGCAAAATTATTTGTTGGTGCTGCATCTCTCTTTTGCACATACAATTTTATGAAAGGCATCTCTGTCTCCCTCGCCATCGATCAGAAGAGGTGTGACGTCACGCAGAGCCGTCGTGTGCGGCCTGAGTGAATTTATTGCGTCTGCGCACCCAGCTACCAAAGAAAAACTGTTTATTTGTTGTGTTTTAATGGTTTTAATTGTTTTTTTTTATTACACGATATCAACTTGCACATTAACCCATTTTCATAAACGAAACTTTTTTCATATTCATTATCTTTTTTCAAAAGAGAAAATTTTGACAACTTTGCCTTAACGTGACAGGTTCCGTCAATTTGATAACAAGCTGATATTTATATTATTTTTAAAATAAAATTTTGATGAAATAGTACTTTTAAAAGTTATTAGAAATTGATATGTGGCAGATCGCTTATTCGCTTATATTCCGCGTCTACAGTCACAACTACGGGCACGAGTGTAAAGTGGACCTTATCTTAACTATAGGGCCTCTCAAAGACCTCCTGACCCGGCTGAGTAGAGAGAGCATACGGCGGCTGCCCAATTAACAGACAATAGTACGAAATGCACATACTAACTAGCAACAAATTCAAATCGAAAACGAACAAAGAATGTGGATGTGTAGAATGATAGTTAAAGTACTAACTGAGGTAGCACATGAGCTGTACAATTTGCATACGGTGTCACTTATTCTTTCGATGGGTAGTGTCACGGAGAGTTTACAATTAATAGAGATGTTGGATGAAGACGAAGGACTGTGATTAGATATTTATAAATTGTTGTAATAACATTAAAATCATGCATGACGACTCTTATTGTTATTATTAATATTGGCCTGACGTAATTACAATTAAACAAAGTGATTAAGAATAATGATTAGATAAAGAAGTAAGTATAAATATTTACAAAATCAATTTCATTGAATAGTGTTGCACTAGTTCATGATGTTGATTCAAAGATGTAGCCACTAAGTGTAATGGATAGAACCCGGTATTCCAAAAAAGTATCAGTAAAACCAATGATTGCACGGAAAAACATTACCTATGAACCACTACTGTCTACCGACTTTTTTTCTTTTACTTCGAAATGTATCTAAGTATACAATTAAATATTTCATACTTAAAAACAACTATTGGCTATTTAAGTAGAAGAAGAAAACATGATGGAAAATTAATTTACTGTTAATAGTGTAAGTTTTTATTTGTGAAAAATTTTAAATGACCTTTATGATTTAGTGTTTTTAAATATTTTAGACTTATAGTTGAAGTTTTCATTAAAATACTAGAAATTATATCAAAATTTACGTAATATAAATGATCATCGTTACCATTTAAAGCAAGTTTCTTATGCTTACTACCCCTAGTTACTACTTGTATTATTTGGCAAGGAATTGAAATACAAATTTTATTTTAATGTAAAAATTGCTTATATATTTTACTCCTCTTACTTTGGGAATATTATCATACTGAGTCAATACAAATTATATCCATATTTAGTAAGTGGTTTATGAGTTTCTTAAAGTTTATAGTTTTCTTAAATTTATTGCATCAGCATAGAGAAATCTTTCTTTATCACAACGATTCCAATAAGTGATAACAAATTACGATAGGGGTTCTAGAAATGAAACTTTTCATAATTCCATATAAAACCCTCGTAAAGAGAGACTAATTAATAAATCCACAATATTTAAATTGCTATTTAATAGTAAATATAATTTTATTAAGATCACACTAGCTTTTTTGATACATAATGTAATAATTATGTTAACATTTGCATCTGCCTATTAAGGAGTAGAGTATAATGTTAACACTTCCATTTGACCGTCGTTAATGTAGTTACATGTAAAATATTGCCACGGCCGAGAAGAGATACCATTCCTCATCGCAGCATCATTCAGTGAGCAGCACCCCTCGCTGCTCGACATTTATTTATTTATTCCCGTACATTTTCCTGTCGTGTTTGCCTGTACCCATATGTTAACATGACAACCGATGCGTTTGTCTTTTTGTAATTATGCACCTAGATTTAGACCGGAAACCATAATTTAAGAAAAAGTGAATTCAGATTCTACTCGACAAAATTCAATAGTGTCATACTTGTTTTAATATTTTATCAGACTAAATATAATGCGTTTAAGAACGAGTTTTATTGTATTAAATTATTACCCCATAAAAGCTTCAACCATATCTTATTATTAATATTCATGTGAATAAATTATTATATCTAAATACACGTGCAGAACATCTGCTGCTAGTAGTGACATCTAAAATCGTGAGGAGAGTACGCGATGCCGACTTCCATAAACAATACATCACCATCTTAATAATTAGAGAGTCGTTTGCAACGGCGCGGGCGCGGAGCTCATCTCTCTCCTTGACGCCTTTTTGTAGATTTTTTTTGTTTCCCGCCCGGGAATAATGTCATTATGGCGCCTTTAATGTTGTCAGTGAACGGGCGCGCCGCCGCCCAAGGCGAACGTTTGTTGATACTTAAATTAGGTTGTTTTGACACGCCTCGTTCTTATGTTTGTACTAAATCTAATAAACGTCGGTAGCGGGAGAAAGCGGCCCATTCATTATTCCCTCTTTGCTCCCTCGACAATATTTTAAAACGATACCATTAGAATTCGTCGTAATGCCCGCTCGCACACTACGACAGTGCGATGCGCGCTAAGTAAGTATAGTTTACGTAAAGGGAATGCATTGAACAAACACGAGTCATTGAAAACAATTACGGGTGGTTCGACAGGGGATCATACATAATGTATAGTACGTCAATATTGTCAGCTACTACTCGCATTGTAGGCGCACTCATTACGTCAGGCGCAGGCGCGACGAGAGAGCGCGGCCATTGTAGTCAATGGCAGTCGCCAGGTGGGTGTGCAAGCGTGAGTAGCTGCCGCGACACACGACGACCCTCGACACTGCCCTCCCCCCCGCCCTCCAGGCCGATGCCTGCCATCCTGCCACTCACACATGCTCGCACAGGACACTTTGACTCTCACGACACGAGCCTTCATGTTATTCATGTCGGAATTCTAACAAAGAGTTCATTCATTTTCCATCGTACGTTTACATTATTTTTTACTTGAAATATTTTTTAGAATGAACTCGAAACCAGAAAAATGTCCGCTTCATTATTTTGAGCTTTTGTTTGTATCTATTTTCGAAATAATTCACCCGGACAAACTTTTAAAAAAATAATTCGTGAAATTAATCACCACAACTGAAGATTTGTCGCGGCAGCATCAATATTTTGTATACTTTATTGTTCTCTTTTGATGCCGGAGCGATATGTTCAGATTGTTTAATTTTATCGAGACGTTCAGTAGGATAACGCATCACTATCAAAATAGATCAAACAAATTCATAAATATATTTCAAATGAGAAATTAAGAGATCAATTGTCACAACAGAAGAATGTATAGATATAATTATTCAAAACAGAAACGTTAAACGTGTGTATTTCCCTCTTCGTCATGAAGTTTAATTGCTTTTTAAATATCAAACAGAGATCATTTCCTTCTTTTAATTTTATCAAGTTACCAAATCATATTTAAGAGAATTTACACAGCCAGGTGATTAAAATAGGTTTTGGGCACATTGAATTCGTTCCAGTTGGAGTTCATTGTCCTAAAATACCTGTTCGGTGCGTTGTTGTTAAAAGAGCTAGCAAATTACGACGTAGACATGTCAAGTACATCTATGTCAGACCGGTGTGGTATGCGCTAAGTCGCCAGGTAATTACCGCCACATCTAGACCTGTTGAAAGATTGACATGGACACGGGTTGGCGACGACTTGTTTATTGCTATGCTTCACAAAAAAAAACATTAATATCATTCTCACCTCGCGCATATAAAAATGCCACGTATATTTGTAATTGCCACCAAATATTAGTATAATCCGCTATATGATCCACTGATAGTCGTACTATTTAATGGTGACCGGTTCCGTGGAAGGTTTTATCGTAAATATTGTTCACAAATTGTGTGGAACCACAGCGGGAGCACCACTCTCAGCGTGGGGGCGATTTTTCATCGACACTGCCTCTGCTTTGCCAAACACATTTTTTAACACCTCGGTCCACTCTTAAATCAAATGTTTGTTTTATGACGACATCGTCTTAACACATTTTCTTAGGAATAATTTGCATGCAAAGAGTCTTTCCAAAATAAATATACATAAGTAAAGAAATATTTAAACTGCCAATTAATTTAAGATCATTAGTTTTATGGATGGTTTTCATTTTGGTTGTGTATTATCAAAGATTGAAAATGCCAGGTTACAGTGGTTTGTTTATAATTTCTTGTAGAAAAAAGTCTCCGAAGACCTTCTTTCGTTTTTTCGTTCGCAGTTGTCTCTTCTCGACTGTTTAATTGCCTTAAAAATTCCACATAATAAAAGTCACAAGCAAGATTTTCTTGATAAATCACTCCCCGCAGGTGGTGGTTAACATGGTTCAACACATTCAAGCAAAGAGATAAAATTTTTCGTTACCATGTCGTCTGTTGATTGAATAATCTTACTTTAATATGTAACCAGTCATTATTAGTAATAAAGGCAGTTTTTATTTTCAAAAGGTATAAGTAAAAACCTTTATTCACTTTTAAACTATCGCGCTGCAATATTAGATACTTATAATAATGGGTATTAGATGCGATTTTTACACTGACGTGCGCCGACGAACCTTTAGTTGTATACCTTTGAAAATACTCTTGTTTGATGAAAGCTTTTGGAATTATTCCACATTGTCTACCTACCTTTTGTTCTCTTTTGGACTCTTTTCCATGTCTTAGGAAAGAAACTTATTAACTACTAGCTATTTGTCCGCGTCTTCACCTGCATGATATAGTTACTTCCAATGTAGAATTACATACAAACTTTCAACACTTAACCATTTTCTTCGCATTAAATGGTAACCAATGTACTTTCGGTGGTCAACATTTTCTCTGGACTCAATTTAATTGAAATCGTTTCTGTGGCTTAGGCGCGTAAGCGTAATATACAGACAAAGCTACTTTAATAGTATTAGTAAAGATAAGGATTAAATGATATTATTTATATTGTTAACTATTTTGGTAGACACGCCGACTTATTTATATTTTTCTTACAGATAACGAAGCTCAAAATCGACAGCAATCCTTTTGCGAAAGGATTTCGTGATTCTTCACGTCTCACAGAATTCGAAAGGTAACTATTTTTTAATAAACACCGATTTCGTTTTTATAATAAATACATCGATAAATTGCTGTTTTCATTGCAAGTTTAATTGCAGTCCTTAATTGGATTTCATATTTCTTGTATGTTTGTAAAATGTCTCAGTAAATATACGTATTTAATAATATTTGTTTACTCTTTTCCGATATTACTTAAAAATAGCAAAAAAATACAAATACTGGTACTTCTTGCATGAATAAATATCTAGTTGTAAAATTATTTCTCATAGTCATTTTCTGCTTTTATTTTTAGTTGTTTAGATTTTTTATTTTGGAATTGTTTGTTTGTTGAGATTCTATGTCACGGGCGAGCACGAAAGATCCTCAGTCTACCCCGATGTCTCTCGCTTCAGCGCCGCCCAGCATAGGTAGATACGAACATACAATTCTGAGTGATAACTTTCTTGGTATATTATAACAGTCTCATGTAACAATGCTTCATATTACAGAGAAACGATGGAGTCGATGCTCGCAGAACAACACTACCTTCGTTCACCATTACGACCCTTCGATCTGGATCAGCACAATAATAATTTGACTTTAGAAGAGAAGGCGATTTTGGCAGCGCGTTCGCAGCTATTTTTACGTGCTGCGTATCCCCTGTATGGAGTACCAGCGGCGGCGCTGTGGGGACAGTGGGCATGTCTGGCACCACAGCTACTTGCACAACAACATTTAGCGGCATCAGGCTCTGGGCTGCAGTTGCCACGACCAGTGTATCCCGGCGGGCTCCCTGCTGGTGCTGCTGGCTTATCCCAGCATAGATTTTCACCGTATCCACCGCGGAGGTCATCACCTGGCTCCTCGCCAGATTCCCTTCGAGATGCAAGCCCTCACCCGGTGCCTCTTCCTCCACATCCTTCACATACTCCTCATCCACCACACAGTCCAACTTAGTGATAAAATTTAACAGAATACATGAAAGAAATATTGTCAGAGAATTTATTGGAAGTGAGCAGATTGTGTACTTGAACTACTGTGTTAATCGTTGTAGAAGTGATAAATTTCCGTTCGAAACTTATATCAGTGATAAAAACTATGAGACAGGTAAACGTCGTGTACATACAAACTGTGAAAGTGCGTGAAATGATATTATATCTATTTGTATAATAATGTAAAATACGAGTAATATTTAATGATAATTTATCTGTAATTATATTTGTTATGTTCCTAATAGTATTTCTGGTAGTGATGGTTTCCGCGATACATGTTATAGCTTTAGTGTTATAGAATAAACAAACATTGGATTGGAAGCTTTTCTAGTACCAGCGATTTGCTGTGGATCGGTAGTGTAAATTGACTTGTTAAATTATAAGTTCGTTCCATGATCACACCTGAATTTATGATTTTAAATTAGGATAAAATGTGCAATACAAACTGATTACAAAATTATTATATAAAATTAATTGATTAGACATAGCAACATAGAAATAGGTATTAATGTAGATGCTATACTTGCTGTCTGTGTTATTATAATTCCAATGTCTGGTAAATTTGATGAATGGACACGGAAGTGAATTATGCAATCACTTCGTAGTTAAATACAGTTATAATAGATAATATATTGCTAAATATTAAAAAAATTAAATGTTTGTTAACATAATGTATTGTTTTATTTCTTTCTTTTTATGCTAATAACAGTAAACAATGCAGGAGGTGTACATTTATTATTCGAAGAATAAATTATTATCTATTTAATATTATTTTTATCCTAAGCTTCAAATTAAAGTTCATATCAAAATAAATAGTTATCTTGAAATAAAAGAAAGCAAAATACCATAGTTAAGACTTATAGAAAAAGGGTTATAACGTATAGGTATAGTATTAATTGTAATTAATAAGGCCGGCCTCCTTGGTTAATTTCCATTTAGACCTATTAGAGATATCTAATTATTTTTATTATTATACTAGCTTTCCGCCAGCAGCTTCGCTCGCGTGGTTTTGTATTATACATAAAAACCTTCCTTTTGAATCACCCTATCTATAAAAAAAACCGCATCAAAATCCGTTGCGTAGTTTTAAAGATTTAAGCATACATAGGTATATAGAGACAGAGAAAGCGACTTTGTTTTATACTATGTAGTGACTATAAAGTGGAAAGAGTTGATTGTTTGTTTGTTTCCATCGAATAGGCTCCGAAAGTACTAGACCGATTTAAAAAATTCTTTTACCTACGGGTAGGTACATCATACGGGGTTGTCATAAGCTATAATTTAAGCGTGCGAAGTCTCGGAGAAACAACTAGTTTAATTATCAAGTGGTGGGAAAAAACCATATTTTATACACCTATTTTTAATTTATCACATTTCAGTCGAATTATAAGACAAAGTTTGGTTTTCCTCAATGTATCTCCACCGGCAATTGATTGGTTTCATAGTTACCTGTACGGGCGACGGCAGCACATAGGTGTGGGAAATCGTTTCTCCGATTGGTGCGACACAGCTGCCGGGTGGCGTTTTGTCTTCTTTCCTATTCACTGTCTTCATTAATTCAATTACTCTTCCTATCATATGTATGCAGATGATTTCCAAATTTATACCCAAGCACCTATAGAGGGACTGTCAAAAGCAATTGCCACCACTAACGCAGATCTTCAGCATATTTCTGATTAGGAAGACAACATGGCCTAGTAGTAAACCCATAAAAATCTCAGGCAATAATTATTGGAAGCCATCGGTATTTGGACAGGGCGAGTTATAATACGCTACCGCCTAACTTTTCGAATAGCGGATCGTATACAATTTCAAGACAACATTAAAATTCTTGGTGTTTTTCGACTGCAATTTTTAGTGGAGCCATCACGTTCGTGAGGTTAGTAGGAAAGTGTTTGGTGTATATAGCTCGCTCAAACGACTTAAGAATCTATTACCGACTAAGACAAAAATCACTCATGCGCAGTTCCTGCTTCTCCCAATGCTTATCTATGCTGATTTCAGTTATTCTGACCTAAGTGTCATAACATCTAAAAAAGCTTGAGCTTTTTAGAATTTATATATCCGTTTCATCTTTGATCTACGTAAGTATGATCATATCTCTGATTATCGTACCCAACTTCAATGGTTACCTATATCTCGTAGAAGAGACCGTCATATCCTGTTGCTTCTTTATTCTATTCTTTTTAATCCTCAAACACTGCAATATCTTAAAGATCGCTTCGTTTTTCACTCTTCTCATTCTTTCCGAGATTTTAGGTCTTCCCATAACTTTTCTTTCGTCGTCCCTCCTCATACAACTGATTTTGTTGCCAAGTCGTTTTATATCAGAGCTATCAAACTGTGGAACTCACTGCCGGTAAATATCAGACGCGCACAATCACGAGAGTCCTTTAAATATGTCTAGGAATATTTCCTCAAGCTAAATCTAGCTTTTTTAGGAAGAATTTTAGGAAGATGAATCCATCTTCCTCAAATTGTATTCTGTTTTGTATTATTTTATATATATGTTTTATTATATGTATTTACTTTTATGAATTTTCTCTCTCTTCTTTCTTTAATACTCTAGCCCGCATCCTCGTAGCCTGGTAGAGATTGTTACCTTAGCAATAAGGCCGCCTTTTGCATCTATGTTTCTAATTATATTTGTTTTGATGTTTATCTTTACTGGGCAATAAATTATGTATTCATTCATTCAATCATTCAAAGTTTACTCGGAAATGACCACTAATAATAACTTCAAAAGGTTATGTAGGTGTTTGTGTATTTCCTTACTTACTTATTAGATTCATGTGCACAATTTCACCTTCAGGTTCATTCTTTGGATCATTTCGGCGGAATATAATGTGTGAAATTTATACTATATACGTTTAAACTATCTGAGTACAAAATTTTATATGTGTTGATTCAATTCCATTGAATAAAATAAAGAGATAAAGATACTCCTATTAAAACTTTTATTTAATCCTTATATAAAACAGGTCGTGTTTGAGTGGAGCATCGACCTTGCTAGTCTCGGTTGCGGATACAGTTAAAACTAATATGTGGTTGGTGAATTAAAGGATCAATATCAGATTTAAGAAGTTTATTATGTAACAAAAGCAACGTGAGTAACTCATTGGCGTAGTGGATAAGCGCCGCGGTCTGCGATTGTTGTTGTTAAGAGACTTTCGAAATTCTCGGACACGGGATGGGTGACCAAAAAATTATTATTTCGAGCTACTCTGTGCTTCATAAGGCAGGCAGGTCCTGGCTGCATTACATTACCACCCTCATTGGGCCAGTGTGGAGGGTCATAGCCCATCCTCCTTAGCCTGAGCCCCTGCAAAGAGAATGTAAGAGGGCTCATAATGATAATGATAATTGTTTAATATACATGTTTCTGAGATCAGTTAAGTAGCTATCAAGTAATGTGTTTGGAATTCGGTAACATGAAAAGTTCCTCATTACCGACTTGGAATATTAAAAAGATTGTTTTATATATTATCCCAGCCGGAAATCGCAACTATCGCGTAAGATTTTGTTGTGCAGCCAAAATTTGTAAATAGTTCAAGTAGCTTCAATTCCAGACATACAATGTTCCATGGAGTATTTACATTCACAATGATTTCGCAGTTGGTGTCTGATGTTCATTTAGTAACTTGGTAGGGGGTCAGGGAGCTTTTTCGAGATAGAATAAATGCATCTTAAGCCCTAAATCAAGGCTATCTATCTACTAGGACCTGTGCCTCATTGGTTGACCTATCTGATAAAACCTTCTGCTTAATAGCCTCACGTGGGAAAGAAGATCCTAAACCCCCATTTTTGGGGTCAGGGGCCTCAGAGATGGTGACAACTTAATACTGGCTTGTGGCCATTTCTCATATAGTTTTGTAAATACTCTTTTAATAAGATAATTAAACACTTTATTGCACAATATACAACAGAGATAAAATATAGGCCTTATCGCTTAACAAAGATTTTTTCCAAGCAACCCATATTGAAAGAAAGCATTACTATTTAAATAAGATAATGTTTTTATCATTAACTGTGGTATACAGAAAATATATAAAAAAAAAAAACATTATAGAAAAGGCAAATTGAATACTTAGACAAAAACAACTTCACAATTACAGACTTGAAATATTCCAGCGTTTGAGCGCGACTAACATTTTCATGTAAGGAATTCCATAAATGGATTGATTGTCGGGTAAAGGTTTGGATGCAAAATTAAGATAAAGGTGAGTTAAGGTTTGGATGCAAAATTGAGAATAATAGTTTATAAAAGCTACTGGTCTGTGTAATATTTGTAACTTTACAAAAGTATTTATTTTAAGGTGGAATTTTACTTTTTAATTAGTTTTGACAATAACAACATATGGCGTACTTGTCACCTTAAAATAGTGACAAGCTGTCACCCTGTCGCCATAAATGGCATAGTTTAATAACTTACCTTGAATCACAAGAATAGGTAAGGATTATATAAGCTGTGCTAATATTATAAAGAGGCACAGATTTTGGTTCTTTGATTATTTATATTTGAACTTGAATAGGCTCTGCAACTTCTGGACCGATTGAATTATATTATTTAATTATTATATTTGATCAATTTTGCATTCAAAATGCCAGACTAGAAAATATTCTCAATGAAATTACTTAAAAAATCCACTCTGTTCCTAGTACTCTGAGTTGGGATTTCGTTTAACATACGGGAAGTTTCATCATACACTATATAATTTATTTCTATGATGCTATGAAATAAACAAATTATTATATATCAAACCGAAATTAATCACGCCCGTAATTGAAAACGTTATTCATTTTAATATAAGCAAACAACAAATTACTACAAATTACGTAAACAAAAACTTTAAATTAAGACTAGCGCCACCTATTGAAAAAAATGACATTCCACAACAAAATAGAATTTTGTAGAGTTCAAAAAATAAACAACATGTGAGTGACAGTGTTGGTAGCGACGAGGTT